TCTAGTACCTGGTCGGTACCACAAATCATATTTTCCTTATTTTCATCAATATTGTTTCATATTAAAATCCCTTCAAATGCAATAAAGTTGGTAATAAATATCCATCGTTTAAAATAACGCGTTGAACAATAAAAGTCGCGGTGGTCCCAGACAAGATCCCTTTCACAAAAAGCCAGCTTTATTTTTTATTACTATCACGACGTTTTTTAATATTACTTTGAACATATCATGTAAATGCGAGGGCGTTAACGCGAGGCAAAAAAACGTTAAGACATTATAAAAAAAACTTATATCAATAAGCGTACATCTTATTCTAGCTACAAGAATTAACGCGCCTACAAGAAATATAATGTTTGCAAGTCTTTCTCTTACTAATATAAAATGTTTTAAACAATTTGAATACACAACGATTGAAGTTTTACGCATTAAAATATTTCATAAAGCATAAAACATCAACAATATGCATATTTATAAAGCTGATAGCATAACTTTTTCTAGCCAACCCTAATTAACATTAATAATTAAATGAGTATATAATGTTTGAAATTTATACGGTTAAACAAACGCGCATGTAACGTTTACGTTAAACTTTATTTTAAGACGTAGGTCATATAATATGTTTAATACAACTCAAGCGGGTTATTATTCTTTAAAGAAAAATACTGAATACATAGCAAAAGACAGCGTATAGTAAATTATCATACTCTGTCGCAGTAGATAAAGAAAAATTTTTAAGTTTATTTGAACTAAATTAGTTGAGTCAACTGTAAATGTTTTTAGTTAAAATCTAACGAAAGAAAGTTACAATGAAAGTACAAGATTGAACATACCAGACTAGTTTAAACTACTATTCTAAAATTGTAGAACATTAAAAGTCAAAGTTTTAGCTCTCTAAAATTCAAAGAATGTTTAAAGGGTTAATTTAAGTTCTTACTAACTGATATATAAATATAATTAAACATTAAGAGACGCATTGGTAGATAGAATAAATATATTTAACAATATGTTTTTAAATTGTTTAATTTAAAATTTAATGTTTGTTTTATTTTCAAGCAAAAAGATTTTTTTTAACAAAATAAAATTGAGTTGACAAAAAAAAATTAATTTATTCAATTGTAGTTGACCTTGGCAAAAAGTTCTTGTGCACGAAGGTGTTAATTTTTACTTGAGATATAAATCCACCAAATTCGTTGAAATTAGCTTTGGTAACTTACAACGTTAATAATTTTCGAAAGGCGTGTGTGTTTAATTCGGGTCAAACTACCATATTAGAGTGCTTGTGGTTGCGGTTATTTTAAACGCACAAAAACCGCTACATTAAAATATTTTTAAAGAGTGTATAAAATTGTTTTTTTTGAAACCACGTAACTTATGCGAGCTCGCTATGATATAGAGCAACCAATAGAAAAGCTTACACGGCTTCATGTTATCTTATAAGATATTAATTCTGTCAATTGTTAATTTAAATGCATATCAACACATCAGCACAACAATTAATAACGCTAATAATATTATGTAAGTAGACATGACGCATAGTCAACAAGTTTATTAATTTTTTAAATGTATAAATCTATTTTATTTTGTAAAATAAAAATGTAATATTTCATGTGTATATAAAAGATTATCTGTTAGTTATATAAATCAAATTTCTAGAATTATAAATGCAACAATCAAAATATTCACACCATTTTCTTTTTTTGCACAGAACTGTTTTCAACGCACTGGGCTGCTAAATGGTTACTGAAATTTTCAGATGCTGGCTGCATATATATATATATATATTGTAACATCTCTCTATTTTATTTATACAGTAGGATTTTCCGTTATTTTCAAAAGGGTTTATTAGAGTTACAAGGGTACGTTGACATTCGACGGATAGTGGCGATGTATTCTCGTATTGCTGTCTAGAAAAACAGCAAAACCAGAAGAAAACTGGGAGAGATTAGACAGGTTTTTGCCTTTTCATTTCAGCAATATTGAAAATTCTCGACTGCGGTTGTCGAATGTTTTCTTTGCTGTAGAGCTTATGTAGACTTTTGTGGCATTAACCCGCGGGTACAAACAGCCTTCTTAGTGAAAACCACTATCGTTTTCATTTTGACTTCAAACGTACGAAAGTTACACTAGTGTTTTTTCTCAATCGATGTGTATTGGAGGGTTTCAACAATAATATTAATCGCAAACATAATATTCCAAGAAACTAATAACATTATTTTGACAAGGCTTTATACTAATACGTCAAGTCTTTGGTATAATATGTCAATAGATTGGAACGAAACGAGATTTTCTTTTAATCTAAAAGGAATATGTTGACGTCCAAGACTTATCGCAAGACCCAAAAGAAAAAATCAATCATACTTATATGTATTTTGCACGGTAAACAAATTAAGTATGCATACCATAAGTCAATATTTTGTTACATTTAATAGTTTCTCTTTCAAAATTATAATCGAAAGTTACATATTACATTCAAATGTCAAACGACGGTTTTTTTATGTGCCTGATTCATACAAACGTGCATTTTATAAAAATACGATTTTATGCTTTGCTCATTAAGATTATATTATACTTGACTCTGTCGAGTAAAAAACTCGAGAAATGGGATACAACTGTAAATCACATACAGAGTGCTCAGTAAGTAAGTAAACAGATTAATTGTTACAAACAATGAGAACAATAGAAACCCGTCTCCTTACTTACTGAAGACTCTATATAACACTTAAATCAAAACTATTCAGAAATGGGTATGAATATTATTATTTTTTAAGAAACGCTTTCCGGGTATAAAATATACTAAATAAACACATGATTGCGACTGAATTATTGGATTCGAGAGACTCGAGGAGCTATTCGTTGGAAATAAATTACTATATTTTTCAAACGCAAGTCAACAATCATACTTCGTCTGAATTGTAAACATTGGCGGCAATGTGTGCGTTATCAACGCCACAAAACGTGTAAGAAAACGAACAACTATGTAGAATACGCTTTGAATATTTATGCGTGCCTAGCACTTTTTAATCGATGCACATGTACGAAAAAAAATTACAGTCACGCGTATGTTGATGTTTGTTTTAAAGATCTCGCCGATTTGAAGTCCATATAAAAAAAAACTATGAGTAATATTTCAAAACTGATAAGAATGAAAAGAAAAATAAAGTCTACTTTGTTTGGCGGTTAGTTTAAAACAATAAAATGAAATTGTTTTGACACTAAAAATAATGAAATAATATAATACCTAAAGAAAAGTGTCAGACAGCCTCATAAAATGTATTTATGTCGAGGAGTTTTTTTTACTGTTTATAATCTACTTGAACTTTACGTAAAACATATTATCACTGGTATAAAATACTATAATACTTATAATCAATAAATATCTTAAAAATCAATATCGTAAAATAAAATGTTTCGATAGTTTAAATGGTTTTTGAATGGAAACATACATTACGATTGTTTCTTCATTAAGTTAAGTTAGTTAACTTTTAGATGAAAATGTCTAATTATATTTTATATTCCTTAGAGAGGGTATATGTAAATCAGTTTTAGATGAATTGTTTCTTATTTTTCTTAAAAAGGGTTAATGTGTATATTTATGTGCTCAAGTGCTATTTGACTTTCACGTTTCCTTTTAAAATGGAGGCGTTAAAACAGCTCGTTTGGAGTACTATAGCACACCAAAGCATCGTGTCAAGTAGAGATATTCAACTCCGTTACGTTGAATTTACTAGATTGGGTTTGGTTAGGAGGAAAGTATTGAGTGTAAATCGTAGTTAAATGCAAACAGTAAACATTAACTAGATCTAAATAACCTATATAATGTACAAAGTAAAAATGAATGGGTAAATAAAATATTACCATTATCTAACACAGCAACATAAAACTAATTTAAAACTTTTTAAAGTAAATATTTATTTATTAAAAAATAGTTAACAGTTAATGAACTTTGGAATTTTTTATTGATTTTCATGCTATTGAGTTAATTATTATTTTAACAGACAGTTAAAATATCACGTTATTAAATATGGAAAGTAAAAAATATAATGAACAAAAGATTATTCATTTTTTTATAACTATAAATAGCCATAAAACTCACTTAATTTATATATTTTATAATTATTTTACAAATAATAAAAATAATTTAACTAAATGTTTGAAAGGTATAGGAAAATAAATCATATAATTGCGTGATTAATTTGTTCTCCCAGCAAAAAACAGTAAGCCATTGAAAAAAAAAATTTAATCATGCTAGTTTCAATCGTATTCGAGTTCATTGTAACTATGATTTCATTTACTTCATTATTTTAAATCGTCAGGATTATAACACTAAATATTGGCTTAACGCCTTTAGTAAAGTTCAGATTTATTTTAAGAGTTATCAGTCGACTGCCAGATAAATTTATATCAAAGTATATCTGACAGGTATACAAGTCTTAGGTTTTTAACTAAAATTATAAAATCGATTGAACTATCTATAGAACGATCAATAATAAAATGTCATGAATATTTTTACGATACAATTAATTCAACGCCAATATCATAAAGTTTTATGGGTGTCATCAACGAAAAATCGTTTTACTTAATTAAAATATTAACTCAACTTAATATAAAGAAGAAAAAACTAAAAACGTCAAGTTAAAATTAGAGTTCAAAATAGTTTTGTCAAAAAAAAAAAAAAAAAGAAATACTGAACTTCAATATATAAATTTACTGAACCAATAAGAATTTATTTTTTTTAAGCTTTATACTAGTACACTCAGAGTGACGATAAACAAAATAATGTTTATCGGATTCGTAAGATGATTAAAAAGGTACATGGGCAAATACAACGATATAATCAAATCGAAAAAATAAGAGTAAATCACTGTCTCGTCTTAACATGCCGTTTATTATAACGTTTCAAAAAAACATTGATTACAAAGTTTTCAATCTAGTGAGAGTTTATTAATACATATTATTATGCTTTTAAAATATCAAGATTCAGGATAAATTTATAATCTTACCTGAAGAGAACTCTAAAAGTTGCGACGTAAATATTCTTTGTTATTTGCGGTAAATAATCTAAAACAATAAAAAATAAAATGTAATTAATAGTGTTTAGGAAGTTGTTTGTATTGTAGACGAATAATAAAATTTGAGCGCACAATGGCACGATAATAACAATCGCATACTAATTAGAAACCAACAGAGGTTTTACAATTAAGTTTCTACACTGCAAAAGGACATTACACCAAAAAGAACATTACACCCAGGAGGTTTTGGCTCGGAGGGAACGATTTACCTAAGGAGGACGTTACCCCTGACCATTACAAACTCCCTTTACTCACCAACCATATTATTTCATCACGGATAAAGGCTTATGGTTTCCCATTAGGTCTTATAAAAAATGTATAAAAAAAATCACATCCACTTTGCGTGATTTACACTGACATATTCAGTAAAAAAGTAAACATATTTACATAAGGTCTGCGTGACTTTGTCCACTCTGTATCCACTAGAAAGGTAACACCGAGAAGTTCAACAAAGTTTTCGGACATTTATCGAACGGTGACAAAAAAATCGTTTATGTACCGGTAACAATCTATAGGTAAATACAATTGAGAACAGAAGAAACTGTTGTCATAAAAAAGTAGAGATCTTGATAACTAGAAACGAGGTATAAATTTATTTGTGGTCGATAAGTTTCACTGAAAACAATATTTGAAAATAAATTTATTTAAATCCTGATAGTCAAAAGGAAACCTTGACCTCAGGTGAACCTATCAAATTAATAGAACCTACGACTAAGAATTGAACGTTTCGCCATTAAAACTACATTTGAGATTATTGTTTTTTAAATCGTTTAGGAAGTATTTAAAGTATGACTTTTCACTTAATAATGTATTCATAATTTACGGCTTCTTATTTTTTTATTTATTTATTTAATAAAACCTTCCAAGAGTTGAAAGTATAACAATTAAGTAATTAAAATATAATTTTGTAAATCATAGTTAACTTAAAAAACACTAGATTTCAATTTATTTTCATTGTAGCTAAAAAAATCAAATTCAATAAATGCATTACAAAGAGATAACAAACGATTAAGAACACAATTAATTACATAATTTTTATTGTTAAAACAGATTTGAAATAATGGTGGATAACGTGAGTCAAGTCTAAGTGTTTTGAAGTTTATTTGCTCCAAGAGTTTGAGACTATCAATTTTGTTGTTTAATAGCTTGTATTTAAATGATATATTCGCATACTTACGTATTAATATTAGTGAAGAGATTTGGTATTTCGTTGCTATTTCATTAATGTGAATAACTCCTATACCTATATTAATAGCTATCATTAAAAAAAAAAAACGCTTTTGAATTCTATTTTTTAGGCCATTTTGGATTAGGTTCCAAAAAATCAAGCCAAACTTCAACACTTTATTATTCAAGTTTGATATTGTAAAATTAAATTTTTTCATTAATTTTCATATAGAAAAATTTCTGTAAAATAATTTGAGGATAAATTTATATGTTTTTTTTTGTATTTTTTAAATTAGAATTTAGAATTTCTATTATGTATACTATGATTCAATTTAATAATGCGGTTATAATGGACTGAATACTTGACGGAAATACTTTTACTCTTAAATTTTAGTGAATTTAAATAAATAATATTACACTGTCAAAAACACTGAGAGTTATTTTGTGATATTTTTATAATTAGGAAAAAATAATTTAAGGAATAATAAATGACTTATATAGTTATATCCATTCCACTATCAAGAACTTTTAATTGTTCCATTTTCGTATAACTTAAGAGTTTCTTATTTTAAAAACATTAACTTTTAAATACGATTTACTCATCAAAAATAATATTAAAATTTTAATACAGGAACTGAAACAGAGCCTATTAACTGACTTTTGAACCGGATCCTTTTTAATATTTAGAAACCCATCCAGAGTAGGAGTTTTTATTAAGTAAACCAAGTCCAAAATCTAACTGGAACCTTTAAAAGTATTTGTTTTTATTGAACTATTAACAGATTTTTTACGTGTACATGTTTATACAAGTAAATTACATTAAAATTTTTACTACTTCTTACTAGCAAAAAGATATGTTTTTATTTTTTTTTAGTGACGACTTTCCTCCCCATTAGTATAGAATAGTTTTTATAATAACATGGGACTAAATTTGATTTTCTTATCACCGTAAAAATATTTTTAAGTAACAATACATATGGGTTTTGCTAATTTTTGTGAGAATCCAGCTTCCCTTCCCATATTATGTTAAAAAAATGTATGACGTAAAAGCCTTTAACATGGATGCTTTTACAGGAGGAAGTATAAAACCCCCATGATGAAAATAAATATAGCATGAAGATTTATCTAATTGAGGCTAGTAAAATATTTTTATGCATATCACCTCTACAAAAAAATTGTCAAGACTCTGATTGACCTATGATTAAATTAATTTTTATCAAAAAGTACCGGAGTATTTATTTTCAAAAACCGAAATTTATATTTAAGAAATAAAATATCCTGAATCGAACTCGTACCTTAAAATAATTTTTATAAAACACAAGTATATAAAAATTATGGTTGCAATTTTTGCTTTCAACTATATAATTATCCAACCATGCAAACGTTTTATTATTTAACTACTTCTCTATTTGGGCCAGTCAACGAAGGAGTAATTTTGGCAAATGGCGGAAAAAATTCCCAACCAAATTTTTATTTTATAAAAAGTTAAATTAAGATATGTATAATGACATACTAAAAGTCCTCATTGATTGAGCTTTTTTTTTACAGCCTTGCAAAAGTTCAAAGTATGAGCTTTTTTATTTTTCTCAAAAAATATTTAACTTACAAAAAAGTTTCGTACAAAAGTTGTTTAGAAGACAATTTTAAACAAAAAAGGTATCCTTTATTTTTTTATTTAAACAAATATTTTTCGAGTTACATTACATTTAATATGAGTACTAAAATTTTTTTTCTATATAATTGTTGTTTCGGAATGTACAATTTAGCGTTTAGTTGGGTTTAAACAATAAAGCGTCAAATCAATTACCTACTCTATCGGTTGTATCTTAATATACACTACACTTTAATGATACTATAAATAAATAAACTCACACATACACACATATGCATTTATAACATTGTATCTAATGTAAGTATAACATGATAAAAAGTAATCGAAAAATATTTGTTTAAATGAAAAAATAAAGGATACTTTTTTTGTTTAAAATTGTCTTCTAAACAACTTTTGTACGAAACTTTTTTTGTAAGTTAAATATTTTTTGAGAAAAATAAAAAAGCTCATATTTTTGAACTTTTGCAAGGCTCTAAAAAAAAAGCTCAATTCCAATCAATGAGGACTTTTAGTATGTTATTATACATATCTTAATTCAACTTTTTATAAAAAAAAATTTGGTTGGGAATTTTTTCCGCCATTTTTCCTTTGTTGACTGGTCTAATTCACTTAAATTCATCTTAAAAATAACATAAACATAAATACCTGATGATTTATCAATCGACGTCATTATTTTTATGTAACATTTAATCAAACAATTGAATAATTATAATTAATTAATAATCTTTTATTTGCAGTTTTTCTTAATGACGTAAAATATTCATTGATATTACAACAAAGTAAAATTCTAAGTTTTTAGAGCTTGTTAATTCGAATACACTCCTATAATGGAAAAATATCTAACTTTCATTGGAAATTTTTTAAAACTAATTAGATTTGTTTTCATTGAGAGAATTTTTTCAAAGAAAATTTTATTTTAGAAAATACATATTTGTTCAATAGTAAGTTTTACTTTCCATCGAACAAACAAGTAACTTAAGTCAAAAATAGAATTTATTTTCTTCGAAGAAAGAGAAATACAAAATTTAAATTTAACATAATGATCAACTTATAATGAAAGTCGAGGAAAAAATTCTGTTGCACTCTATAGAATTAAATTCAGAAAATTCATAAAACTTTTATGAATCTAGTAAGTATAATCAGCTTTTAATAAGTGATGTGATGTCTTAAAAATATTTTTAAAACGCAGTAGAATACTTTTTATTAAATTAAAATTAAAAAAAAAAGTGACTAAGGAAATCCTGCTTTCACTTTAGTCTAATGATGTTATATAAAAAGAAAATTAAAATCTGGTTACACTAAAAATCAAAAAGTGACAGGTTATGAATTTGAAAGATTTTTACTGAAAAAGTAAATTCAAAAAGTAAAAATAAACATCTAAAACTGCATTTTCAAACGATGGAAATAGTGTCAAAATACTTATGAACTTTTTCAATTTAAGTTATTTTGTGAGTTACCATTTATTTGTTTTTTATAAGTAATAATAAATCTAAAGTGTTTTTTTTTTTTAGAAAAGATTGACTATTTAAATAATTCTGGGTATTTTTATACAACACCGACAAAACCAACAAGTGACATATTTTAAATAAAAAAATATATATGAAACGTAAGCACGTACGAAAAAAATATTTTTACATACTTAATTCACTTTAATTTTAAATTTAATTATGTTTGTATTGTACGCAGGAGTCCCACAAAAAATTAACAAAACAACAATAGTTACAGTGTAAAAAATAAAATAAACAATACTCATTTATATGTCGTTTAGAAAGAAGTCGTGTTAGTGTTTCAATAACAAGTTGCAAAATAAAAAAGAAGCTTAATAACTTTTTTTAATACGGTATTACAATAGGTATACGGAGATGTATGAATTATTCAGAAGTTAGAAATCCGTTTTAACAGTTTAATATAGTTTTCTAATTAATATTTGGCTCTTTTTAATAATTTTTTCGGTATTTGACATTTATTTTTTATAGCGGAAAAAAAACCGCTATAAAACTGAGAATAATGCCAACCCTCTCGATGAACGTACTTAAATGTTTTTCTTTTTATTATATTTTTTACGAGCCATTCAGTGCACGCGGATAAAGCCACTGAAGGTTGAAGTATTCAAATTGTGTAGTTAAAAAAGTGCGATTGAGTTATACAATGGATGTACATAATCATAAGTGTCGCATCAAAAAAATGAGTAAGAGATCAAGAAGTATCTTGGTTCAACCTTCGCAATAAGAAATTACTAATCTTAAAATTATTAGCCAGACAGGACTCAAGTACCTCTTTTGAGTAATTATTTCGTCTGGTTATTTTGACTGTTTAATTGTTTCAAGGAAAATATACTTTTTAAAAGTTCATCAAAAGTTGAACAAAAGAAAATGTTTAAAATGGAATTTTGAAGTAACTTTTTAGATTGTCAATCTTAAAATGAAGAGTGATTGTTTAACTATGGCTCACGCAATATCTTTAATAATATAAAACATAATATAATTTTTTCTTTTCAGAAGATATTAATATCTTATGCTTTATAATTTTCATAAAACAATTTGGGCATATTTCCCTCTTTTTTCTTTAAAAGTTTATCAATTTTAGTTTTTTTTTAATGGAAAAATACGTATATGTTTAATCAACTTACAAACTAGAAAATAACACTGATCGATAACAAATTTTGGACAAGTATTATAAGAAATATTATCAAATAACCTCTTAAAATTTTAAGAGGAAAAGAAGGAGGTAGGAATATATATATTTTTGGAAATAATGGAATGTAGGATACGGATGGATTTCAAGTAGTTGGAATAAAGGCGAGGGAGAGATATTGAACACAGGATACTATTTACTTCTGAAAAAAATGTTTGTATTTTCAAAGATTTTGTGTGAGTCATAGTTAAACAATCACTCTGTATTATATTTATTTAACTGATTATAAGTTATTAATAATATTCGTCTTGATTGCATTAGATGAAGTACTAAAAGAGCACAAATTCAAACTGTTTATGTTGTTAAGAATCTTAAAAGTTTTGCAGCTTAAACAAAGATAATAGGAATTTATATTGAAGTTTATAACTGCTTGGTTCATTGATTTAAATATACATGTATAAAATACTATGTTTCAATTCTTAGATTATGAAACTTTTAGGTACATTAAAAAAAGAGTATATCTTTTCCTATAATCGTATTAACTTAACTGGCGATGCGTTTATAAATTATAATACCCAAGCCGATACCATAGCGATAGTCTTATTTCAAAGAAAAACTGTCTTGCCCGTTTAAGGAACTACAAAAGAAATCCTATAAGTAACCGATGATACTACATAAGCTGTCATTTCAAAGAAAAAGTGAATTGGAAAAGAGGATGGAGGAAAGGGTCTTCTTTTTCAAATTATATTAACGCAACCTAAAGTCTGTGTAATTTTTAACGGTATGGTTCATTTAACAGTCGTTTTTCTTCTGTTTTGCAGTGAACACAGTGACACTCTTATTTCTAATCGAATCCGTTTTTTCGCAGCGCCACGGTTTAATACTCTATTTTTTGTTTTATTTTGTCATTTTCTTCTTCATGTCCTCCCCAAAAGTCTCATTTATTTCGAACATGGCTAACTATAGATACAAGGATTACACTTGCGACCAAGGTGAAAACTTTACGTGAGTTTAATTTGCCGCAGTTTGCGTACCGTTTGTGAAAACCCAACGACAGTCATCAGTCCATGTTCTTTTTATGTTCGGTACAAAACACTATTTGATGTGTACAGAATTATTTTTCCGAAGCCAAAACTTAAACTTTTACTGTGAGGTAGTAGTTGAGACCTAACATTGTGAGTTGAAAGAAAATGTTTTTTTGTTGAATTTATGAATATTAAGTAAAAAGAATTCCTTAAAAACTTTTAACAGACCATGTGCATGGCTTGTTATGATAATAACTACAATTATAGACCATGACGTAGAGTACAAATATATTTACAAGTAATTGCACTGAGTGATGTTAAATATGTTTAGTTAGCAATTATCGGCTGTAAGTACATACAACGATTTTCAGAGTTTGATTATGAATAAAAGGTCATGCACAGGTATTACTTGAATCTTGAAAAAACATTTCTAAACTTTTATTAAGTGTAAGTGTTGTAACTATTTTCCTTTAACAAAAATAAATAATTATTATTGTATGATATATAATTTTTTTTTTTTAAGTAATTTTACTAGAACGTTTATAGGTCAATTTAATAAAATATGGTTGGATTTTTCGTAGGGTCTGATATGAGCGAATGTAAACCTTTATGCTAACCATGCAAGAAAGTAAATTTAAACCAACAGGGAAACCAATATGAACACATTATGTATACTACATCATCAATAACCCGAATAAATCACTCAATTACACGCAGGGTAAACCACATAAGAATTTTATAAACAAACTTTAATTTTGAAAGAATAAACGTATTAATGAAATTACATTTGATACTTCATTTTTCATATCAAGTATGAAACAATGAAGTGTGTACGTATTCAGGTCTTGTTTACGAATATATTTTTTGTAATAACAAATACTCTAAATTTAGTGGGGTAATATATTATTAATTATTAATATTATTATCGATGGTATTATTGATCAGTGGATTTTTATGACCCAGTTTGTTCACGTTTAGATGGCTAGTGACTTCGGAGATACTTGGGGAGTACAGTAATGGCTGTTGTCTGAAATTCTCATCCATCTAAGGATTAGCAGCTTAAGCTCAATTACAAGTCATTGAGGTATCTATGCATCACACCATTTTCCTTAGGTCATACGATTAATTTATAATTATTAATTACTCAATTAATTAATTAGTCAATTATTTATTAATGTATTACAATCAATAATTCTATAATATAAGTCATAAAAAATCAAACAATAAGTTTTAATTATAAATGCACTATAAGCATCAACTTTATGATGAATCTAATCTCTCTTATAGAAACTTTAGTTTGACGGTATTCGCTACTATTTACAGTTTGTATTGAATCATAGGAAATGGTAATTATAGTAACGCAGTGTTTATGAAAGCTATTCTTCGTGTTCGCTCATTAAGTTGAGAACGAATTAAAGGACAGTAAATGAGCTGGGTGTTTTTTATTATACGAGTTAACATAATTTCACAATATTTATAGTAGCTGAACATGATACTCTTTTATAATGCACGTGGATAGAAGAGTACGAGCTTAAGCGTCATGAGTATTTTTCACGATAGACAATTGCGTGTTGAACGAAAACTTTTAATTGATATCACAGTTGAATAGTTTTTAAGTAAACTAGAAACTATTTATTCAATAGTTAATAATTTTTCCCTTTATAATTTATTATCTACATACTATATTTTACTAACATTAATTGAATTTGAATACATTAGGTTTTATTTATTGTCATATCAAACTTATTTATTGACATTTTTACAAGGAAGAAAATTTATAATAATAAAAAAATGTTAATAAGCAGAGAAATAACTGCAACATCTCGTTTTAAAAAATCTGTAGTAAATTTATTTGAAGTAATTATTTTAGAATGACATATATATTATACAGTTATTTAGCGTTACTGGGGCGTTATTTGTCAAATTATTGACATATAATAATTTAACAAAATTAACGAGAACAAAGTTGTATAGTTTCTTTTGGTTAATGACTTTTATTAGCAACAAGTTGTTTAGAATTCAAAATAGCATCATAATTTCAGTATTTTGGTAACATTTTTTTAATTTTAGTTAATTATTGACTAATTTTCATAATTTTACTTAATTTAAATTTTGGTAATTACATTTAATAAAAATACAACCTTATATAAAATCAAAAAAAATTGGCATGTTGATGAAATTTAATTTAAGTTTGTTAAAGTGTATTTCATGTATGTTAAATAACTATTGTACCAGGTAAGTTCGTACAGTTGATCTACGACATACCTACAGCGCTTGGAGATGTTGAGATATCGAGAATAACTTTTCAATTATTTTACAAATAAAAAAAAAGTAAAAGTTCAAATAATTTTTTATGTCAATAACTTTTTTTTAGTGCTATTTTCATTGGCATATTAAATATTCAGATTAAAAGTGTTATGATTAAATAATTAATTAATTATTAAAGTATTTTACAACTAATATGATTCATTAAATAGATTTTAAATATCTATAGGTATGTAATTTATATTCTTTTAAGAATATTTACCAAAAAGTGTGACACGTACACATTCAAATTTATACTTTGGATTACTGTTTGTTTAATCAGACGTGTTGTTCATAATTCATCTCCTAAATTTTTGAAATATTAGCTTTCAAAGATTTAGAAAGGCAAGGAATGGGGTATCGTTTAAAGATGCTCTATTTCTATTGCAATAAATAAGAATTCTTCCACGTCTATTATAAATCATATTAACTTAAAAAGTAATAAAATAAAACTGATTATTGACTAGTCAAGATTTTCTTTAGACCATTCTTCATTTAACAATAAAAAAATAAAATTGGCTCTTATTAAACTTTTGGAAATAACTCCAAAATCTATCCTTAGAAATAAGTTTTACATAAAATAAACAAAATGTATGAATAAATAATTTTTTAAATTCTAATATCATTAAAACAATAGCGCACTATTATTTTTTTATATTAATTCTGTCATTGTTAAAATATTAATAGATTATCTTGGTTATTCTGTTGGTAAATAATTAAGAACGTCTTCATAACTCCCAGAAATGCATAAAGCATTCCCTTAGGTTAGATAGACGTGGGTATAAAGTACTAAAGGTTTATTTAATGGAGTTCGTCTATTTATATAGACGTTAAAATAATTAGCATCATGTAGATTGTAAGAGTTTAAATTAAATAGGATCCCGCAAGGAATAGTATAGTATTATTTTTTAGCCAATAGAAAGTTTTTCATCGTTACTGAAAGCAATTATTATTCTTTTATCTCCAGAGAATTATTAACGTTCACATTTATCTGGTTATACGTAATGAATTTAGTAGTTTAACTTATTTTAGGAAACTCTGTAATGATTAACTGTTATTTCCTGGAGACCCTCATCACGTGAAACTTTAGTTTTAATTTTGATTTAAGTAATTTTTTGAAATAACGGTTTTGTAAGAATGTGAGAATTTTTCTAGAGCTATTTAATAATTTAAGGGATTAAAAATGCAAGTCGTGTACACCGCATTCATGACTGTCGAAAAAAAGAATGAAAGAAATGACGCCATAATAATTAATGGAAGTTTTTCCGTGCCGTTTTTCGTGCAGTTTTCTTTTATTGCATTAAAAAGCAAACCATGAAACGACATGAGGTAATCGACAGATCATGTTTTGTGTTAGTATAGTAGGCCACTGTACATGCTGTTTATGGACTCAGGAATTATAAAAAAACCGAAATGATGATAACGTCAAAAAATCCCAGGCAAATATAAAAGTATAAACTAAAGTAAGCACAATATGCTTACTTTATATAAGTTAATAAAATCGAAAATTAACCGTGCTAGGAATAAAAATAAGAAATTATTCGTTAATAGGATTACTTTTTGAAATTATTTTTATAAAAATAGAAGAACATAAATAAAATTAGAGTAAACGTAACGATCTTAATTTAAACATAATTATCATATTTTTTGTCATTATCTGGTTAAGAGATAATATGATAAATTTTCTGTCTTGTACGCTAGGAAAATAAAATTCATGAATATACACTATATATATATATATATAGTGTAACCAGTTGTGGTAATTATTTCAGGATTCAATTGAGTCTAAGAAAAATGAAAACATACACGGTATTGGTTTAATTTTTAAAGTAAAAACTCTAACTAATATAGATATAAATAATCCTCAAAAATCGCTTAACGATTAATTTATACATAATTCAATGCTTAATACGTTATACTCATATGGGTAATTTATTCATATAAATTATACCAAAATTTAACGATACTGTTAGCTTTAAAGTATCCGTGTACATTTTATATATCAGATGTATTAAAATAATACCAATGTCAGATTCTGGCATTGTTATTATTTTAATAACTAGTTGAAAAATTAATTACATACTATTAAATTTACATTGTTAATAACTAATATGCTATCGATCCGCTAATGGCTTACGTCGATAAAAGTCGCGTGCCATTTTAGTACTTATCTTTGGAAAAACAAGTACATAATAAGGGAACATCAATGAAGTGGCTAAGACTGCTGTTACTTTTGGAACATAAGTTTCAGCACTAGTGTACCAAGGGACGTTCAAAACATCAATAACATTGTTTTAAAGTATAATATGATAGAGATATAATATAATATAAATTTTGATACAAAGTTTATGAATAGAAATTTCAATACAATAATTGACAGCGAAATAGCAGGAAAGTTAAAACAGTAAAGTTGATGTATAACACTCTTCGTAAGCCTAAATGATTGCTGGCAATAATATAGTTAAGACCAATAATTTATTATAACTTGCATTAAATAAACATTGACGAAAAAATGTCTGTGGATAGTTACAAATTCCAAATAATTAACCTATGCCTACACCAAATACAAGCAACATAAAAAAGTCATACGAAATAGTTCGAGGAAATTCCCTGAAAAATAAATAAAACGTTGAAATTTGTTTAATACCGTTGAAAATAATGATTTTTATTAGGTCAACTTGAAGTTAAATGACCACAGTAAAGATTGTACACAAATAATTATTAATTTTTATAAAAATAAATAATGCATTATTTAATAACATTTTTTATTTCTACTCCTCTTATGTTTTTTAAAAACTCATAAAATTAAACAGATTTTTAAAGCAAAGTTAAATCAAATTTTTAGATGATTTTTCTTAAAAAATATTACTACATTTAAGTCAACTTGAAAATTCCGTTAGGAAATCATTCTTCTTTTTCTTCCTCGCCTTAATCCCAATTACTTGTCACTGTTATCCTAAACTTCCACTTAACACGATCTTCCACATCATCTATGTTTACATCAGCTGTACTCATACTGCATTCAATAGCATCCCTCCGTCTCTTTTTTGGTCTTCTTCTACCTCTTCTTCCTTCAACATTCATTTCTATAACTGTTCTTACAGCTTCCGATTATTCTCTTCTCATAACATGACCAAACCATCAAAGTCTATTTTCTCTCACTTATCCACGATTGACGCTACATCTATACTCCCTCTTATATGCTCATTTCTTATCCTTCTCCTTTATAATCTTCTCTAATCACTCCACTCATCCATCTAAGCATTCTCATCTCTGCTACACTCATTTTCTGCTCTACTTTCATATCAACCGCCCAACACTTTGAACCATACATCCGTTAGGAAATCATGAATCATCAAATATATTTTTTTGGTATTGAAAAAAGTAATTTAATCATCTTTGAAAGATAACTCATAATAAAATTATAGTTTAAACTTTACACTCCAACAATTCACTAATTGAAATAATATAAAAGTAGTAGGTAGTTTAAACTTGATTTTTTTTTTTGATGTCCTATTAAGTATCAATTTGTATTAAAATAAAAACAACTGTTAACCCAAAAAAAGGTGATATTTTTTTAAATACCTATTTTTAAGTTATTTATTGAGGTTAATTTTTAAATGGCGGATAACGTGTTTAAAAAACATTCATATTTTAATATATACAATATAACAAAGTGCTAAACCGTCAAAATGTTTCATTAATCTTCTTGGTCGAATCGATTAGAATAATTCATGGTTGGATAAAACTGTCAGTAAATGATAATCGATTTAGTTAATAACTATAGCAGTTTAGTGTAAATTTTAATACTTTATCACTTTAGCAAATCATATTGTATTATAAGGGTCGAATAAATGACAAGGATGTTGATCCTTATTTACCATTTTCTATTATAAACTAAATAAAAAAATATTTTTGACCGTAATTATGGTAAGATATTGGCGGATATTAGGTATTATTTGAATTCAGATTATTCGACACATACAGTCTTGGATTTATTATTGACAATTTTAGTAATTGGACATAACATGGCTACGTGGTTGTCGAAAAGAACTAAATACTCAAAAGTTCACTCCGAAACACAGGATTGTAATCAAAGGATCTAGTGTACTTGAAACTCTATTGTGTGCTGAAAAATGAACCAACAAAATATGTATACCAGTTCCTGTTAAAAATATGGTATACATAATATATACATAATTTTCATTGATTTTTTTTTTTTTTTATCATGAACCACTTGTTTAACCAAAAATTTAAAATGATAAAAACGTTAATAACTTCTGAAATATTTGTTCAATAGTTGTTATCGGCCAGTGATTTTCTTTTTGGATCATTATCTAATAAATAATCTAGTCAATTTAGTTTTGTTGTTATTTGAAAAAAATAAAATTTGCTCAACAATATTTCTGCCCGCATGAGAGAAATTTTAAGATTTCAACATCAATTTTAGTTCGTGTATAGTGAATCAATAGATTGCTTATTAGACTTAATAGTGTATATTTCCATGTTTAATCATCGTTTAGGAGTTCGACGTTTTACCGTACACTGCATTAAATAAGTTTTGATGCCAAATTATTATCTTCCCGGAAGCGGAGCACCTGTACCACCGAAGTTAACGTTGAACTTGCAGTGAATCACCGACTTTGCACAGTTGCCGAGATATTGTCCGACAATAAAGGAAAAGTTTACTCGCATTTAACACAGAACTAATGTGTCACGTACACTACAATCGAACGCAGCTGCAATATGGGTAATTTCCTATTAGCACAGCCGTATAGGCGTTAATTGTAAAATGTCTCAAACTGCTTCCGCGTTGCAGGGCCCGTGTTAAATGGAAAAATCGCGGTCATGGTCCGTAACTGTTTTTCATTATTATTTCATAACATTGACGTTATTGTTTTGTCGGCGACACTGTACAGTGTCGTACGTGCCGTTACATAAGGAATAATAATTACACTTGTAGCATAATAGTCAATACGTTTTATTTGTTAATGATTTGCCGACATAGCTACGTGCAAGTTTTGAATCATGTCCATAGAATAATAAGAACAAGCATTATGACGCCGCAGGACTGTTCGCGAATTTAACTAACACGCACACTGACAAATCGACGTAAAAAGAACAGTTGCAGGGCCGTGTAAAAAGTTGGTGTGTGTGAGAAAACGTGATGGTCGAATGGGACTGTAATTGTCGACGGCCGTACATTTCTCAGCTGTCGGATTTTTGCTGCGGCCCCGGAGGAAATCAATTCGCTGAACGCTCTTACTGGTAAACGGCGTACACAGTAGTCTGCTGCACAAGACTGAATACACACGCTATAGGTGTATTCTCTTAAATGTCGTTTGCAGTATTAAGTTTTTTTATTCGACAACATTTCACCGGCTTGGCGTGGTAAAAAGTAATAGCAGTACCGAATTATACGACGTTAGGGTGAAGGTCACTGTCGCCGAGACGTCTATAACGGTAACACACACACACACACACGATTAAAGAGGCGCGATCGCTACTATGTGAACCGCGTTTACCGAGTAAAACTATTGCAGACGGTAAAATATAAAAAACTCAAATACATATGTCACGAGTATAAATGCGAGTTGTGGCATTTTTGAGATACTAAATATTCGTTATATTTGTACATAAGAATTATGATTGAAGTTCTTTTATACTCAAAATGTTTAAGCTGTACGTCGGACGGGAATCCGCAAAAAAACTTTCAAGTTTTTGAAAAAAAGAACTTTGATGAATATGTAAGCGTTGAACTCTGCGGGTATCGTTTTAATTGGGGTCCGATTATTTTGTCAATTCAGCGAGACCCAACACGGTATTGGCTTCTATAACAATGAACCTACACAGATTAATGGTCCTTTTTCAATGACACGCCCGCCTAACTATATTATACATACAGAAAGGAAAAACAAAATTTCAACCTGCTGATCTCATAACAAACTATATTCATCATCGTCAACAGTTTAATCGTAAATCAATATTACAATATGATGCGCCCTTTTTAATCAAATTGTCAACTAATATTTTTCTACCCGAAATTAATACTGTACTATCACGTCCAAAAGGAATCTGCACTGATATTGTTTTAGATGTCCACTGTAATAAATAAAAGAATATGTCGGCAGTTCAACAAAGCCTATAATGGCGAAGTAAAAATGTGCAAAGTTAGATTGCACAGTCGACAGCTAACGTTCATTAATTTATAGCTATGTTAATTTATTTATATCATAAATAATAAATGATAAACTTCAGGGATGATTAAATTTACATATGTATCATAGTTTTTACTCGTTTATTTTTAATAACTTTTAGTATAACGCAAATTATGTCTATTGAAGACTTATTTGAATTTCATGTTCTGGTCATAAAATTTAATAGTCTTTAAATGTTCAAACTTTTTTAAGTTGTAATGAAAGCTTTAGAATTATACCTTAATCATTAAATTATTACTAAAACAACAATAATTTCGTTAATAATATCTTACTTTATATGTAACGATAGGTTTTTCACAAATCACAATACATCAAAAAATACTCACCTGAAAAGGAAAAAAACTAATTTAATATTTCATCTTTAATACCCAATTAACTTAAAAATGAAATAATTGAGTTATAAAAATTAATTTCGTAAAAAAATAATGCTTCATTGTTTTTAATTAATTTTAATAAATACATAATGAATTTTGCATTAAGGATTTATTAAGAACTATAGTAATAAAATTTCCATGAGGTATTTACTTTCATTGATGTTTTATAATTATCTAATAATTCAAAGGTAGTTAATTTTCAAATATATAATCCATAGTTTGTGATAAAATATAAAAATAAAATGTTAATTTATTTGTTTTGAACGCATTTATTAACAATAAATAGCACAAGTATTTAAAGTTTATGTAGAGTGAGTCATCATCTCTTTTGATGAAGTTTTTACTATGTGCTTCCAAAAATAAACAGACAAACAGCTCTTCTGATTGTATACACGTTTATATAACAAGGCATTAGTTTTAGTAATGAGACTTAACCAAGTAATAGTACATGGAGTCATTTGATGCTAATGAAGACATTATTAAAATAACGCTTTTGCTACTAGACACCAACTACAGAATTTCTTGGCCGCACGAAAACATAAGAGGAGAGTTAAGCTACCAATTTGGTTGAGCGATTTAGTTTTTAATTCATTGCACAAATGATTTAAGTCAATGGTTATTACATGTGACCCCTATTCATAAAAGTAGTTCCCCTACGGTAAAAAAAAAAAATCAAGTATGAATGAATACGGTTCAATGGCCAACGACATTATATTCATTAATTCCAGTTATATGATTAAATAACATTTAAATTCAATCCCACTTGAATTAAGAACTATTATCATGCATACTTCACTTTAAGATTTTAAGGTTATATAGAATCGAATCAACTTTTAGTTAACGAAATTTACATATTTGATGTAAATACTTATAATTTTAATAAGATGATTTATGCTTAATTTTTTTATATTAAAAGTTTTGGTTAACAAAAATGTATAAAACATATGTGTTTAATAAATATATTCATAGTTATGAGTATAATTAATAATTTCAAATTTCATATATAGCTATTAACAGAAAATAAAACTGAATTTTTTCAAACACATTAATGATTTTCTGGATTAAGACTTCATTTTATAATACCATGAAATTAATCAATCACAAAGACAAATTTCCCAAAAGTATAACATAAAATAAACAAGTTGGTTTAAGCACTTTGGTAAACAGCCAACTCGGCTACTTTACTGTATAGTGAGTAACAAAGTGTATCAAAGTGATATATATAAGTGCCACAAATTGGACCACAAATTGCTGTACCGATGACCACTTTACTGCAATGAATATTCTATATAGCTTTTGATTAATGTCGAAAAGCTAATTGTACGATGTTTTATTACATTGTATAGTTGCAATTTTTCTTAAAAACAAACTGAACTAGATATTACGAAAATGATGTTATAATATCGTAATAAAACAAATTAAACTAGACTCACGCTTAAAATAAGTATGTATATAATATAAGTATATTAATGTATATTTAATAAGTGCAATGTGTATCTATTAAGTCATTTTAAAAAATTATCATATAATGACTTTTATATTACAATTGCAAATTATATCTATTCTAAGATTAATATTCTCTATTAAACACCAGATCTTATTCAACACATCGCTCAGTTAGGGTATAAAAGACTTTTTAAAATTTTATTTATCAATTAATAAAAAAAAAAAAAAATTGAAAATAATGTCATTTTCAGAAAAATTGTATATGTTAAGTATGAATATATTAACAGTGAATAATTATCAATACGGATATTTTAATAATTAAATATATGCTACAGTAGTAGGTTACGAGACCTATAATTACAGAAATAACTAGAAACGTAAGATAAACAATTTAGAAATTTCAACATGTTATTTTTGTTATGTTAGTTTATCACAAAAATTAAATTTACTTATATAAACATATAATAGTTTCTCACTAAAACAGTCTAGAAAATATGAAAATTCAATAGATAATGTATAATTTAGTAAACTAATAATTATTATTTTACTGTTGCTTAGATGCAATTCTTATAATATAGTTTTAAACTTTTCATATGTATCAGCTGATTGTTATTAAAAATTAATTAAGCATTTAAGCTATTATTTCGAATTGTAGGGCTGAATATTGATACATGTGTCTAAGTTTACTTTAAAAGATTATTTTTAGTTGAGTTGAATCCAGAAAATTTGGGTTAAATTAAATTACTAAGGACTTAAAATTGTATTCAAAAGTAAGAAAAGTCCACAGAAAAACTTGAAAATAGTTTTAACATAGTAAAATAGGCGCAGTGAATAAATTTTAAATATTTATTGAAACGGAACGGTTTTAGCGTTATTTAATTTTCTAAATCAGATGAAAATAAAAAAATACATAATGCGGATGAATAAACAAAGTTTTTCGACAATAATGGGGCAATATCATCGGAATACTAATACGGTAGTTTCTTTGAGCTAAGATATTTTTATCATATACCAATGTTTTTAAAATTATACCATGCATAAATTATTTTTTAAATAATAATAGTTCTAAGTAATCAATAAATAGTATTATTTAATAGTTGATTTGAGGAAAATTTTGGGTATTAATTGATTATATAGCTGGGATGGAATGTAAAATACTGAATGATTAATGTCGAGAATTTGAGCTGATAGAGAACATTTCGAAACTGGAGGATTCGTCGAATACACAGATGCGACAATTTTTTTCCAACAATATGACCTTAGTTCGGCCTATGTTAATTTAAATAGAAAACCAGACGCAAGTGGACAAAAGGAAGAAAAGGGTTCAACATAAATAGGAGTAAATAACAAATGTATTTTAAATGGAAAAAGGAAGATCGAAGCTTTAATTTAGTCCATAGAAGCATTTTGTCATGATAATTTAGACTTAATCTTCTTGTATCATATTATGTATTAATACGTATAAACTATTAGTATTATAATATTATTAGAATTATTACTGCAATCATAGTTACCATAATGTATAGATCTTAACATGTAATATTTTCATGCATTTACATCGTATAGTTTGTATTGTAAATTATGTGTAGACCTTTCAACGCGAATAACATTCTCATTGTCTGTTAGTCTCTCTCATTCTCTTTCAGTCTTTGCCATCATAATGTTATCTAAATGTATTATAATATGACACGCTGAGTTATATAAGCAGAAAATTATATGATGAAAACGGCGGCAGTGTAGCCTATTAATCAAAACTAAGAAATTATCATGATTTACGTTGTACAAAATAAGATTGGGAAGTCATGATAAAAGTTCTAAAATTATGTATAACGTATTATGTATACATTTATATGAGAATTCTTCCCCAAAAGTTTAAATAGAAGACAAATAATTAGCATCTATTTGATTACATTTTTATTCCTTTTATTATAAAGTTATCAACAGAAAAGGATCGGTCGGCCAAAAAGAAGGTTCATTATAATTCTTAGATTTTCAAGAACATCACGGAATCCATTTCCAACTGACTACTTCCGGACTTTATAATAAAGATTCAGTATAAAAGATATGAATAGCGTGTTTAATAGTAATATTGTGAAACGTGCAGAAGAGGTTGGTTGGCGATGAGGGTGCGTTTTGATTTTTTTTTTCATCGTACTGGATGTTAATAAAGAGGTCAAAGAATAAAGCCCGGTTCGTATGGTACATCTTATAAGATATTAGTCACAGTGATTATTTATAATAATAGAATTTATAATTAAATAATTATGTTTTTATAAGTGTAAGATATATAGCATTTCAGTCAACTTTTCAGTTACTATAACTAAACGCCAAATGTAATGATTTGTTGTATTATGTGCAATATACATCAGTACTTCATGTTATGAAATACTTATTTTTAAATAACTCAACCATCTGCATAAATTATAATATCAAATTTTACATGGAATAAATTCAAAATAATTTAAATTGAAGATTTCTGGAAGCGTCATTAATTTAGGTTAAAGTTAAGTTTAGTTTATGGCGTCCAAGTAAAAACTATACAAATTTAAAAAATATCATAAATTAAAAGTAATATTAAATTTACTAAATAATATTGTTTATCTTAGCAATTGCCTTTGAGCAGGTTCTGCTGGCTCTACTATAATTAGACGCAAATAATGAGAAAAATATTAGAAACTATGTCTTGGGTGAGCATCAATTCTGAAAGACTGGGTTACCGTAGAGAAATACATCACATTGAACATGACAAAATCATCTAAATATTTACATGGACGATTTTTGATAAACAAATTTTAAAAAAAAGAGACGCAAGTGTTTGAAGTATGTGCCTTTGTTTCATTTAAGAATTTAACGTTAAATAGAGAGGAGTGGCTTCAAAGACAAGGCATTGCCTTTAATAGATAATGATAGTGCAGTGTTTGAAAAAACGAAAATTTTACACTTTTTTTAGAACTATAAATTTTAAAGAAATATGTTTATTATAAATCACCAATGTAAACAAATAGATAACATTGTAGTGTTCAATTTTAAATAATGATCCTCTATCTACGATTACTCAGTTCTTTAGAATAATTGTCTTTCTGAGACATTTTGATACGTAAAAAGGTACTTGGACGCCCTCATAATTAGTGAATTATTAAAATCAATTTCTACTACTGCAGTGAAGACTTGACAGTGAGCTGGGAGTAATGATTTGTTTATATTTCGCATTAACTAAATGTAAAAGATAAATTGTAATTTTATAATACGTCTATTAGTCATTAGTTAAGGGTAGAATATAAATAAATATACAGATATTTATTTTACCGTACAGTTTCATTAGTTTCGGTTATTGTGTGCACTAAAATATGAAGTTTTATTTTAATTGGACAAAAGATTACCATTAACGATATTCTATTTTTTTTCGGGGATAATGCGCCTACGAATATGAAAACGAGAAAGAATATTATGAACCGATAAGGGCTGTCTGGAATTCTCTTAAAAATAACAAAAACTCATAAATAAGT